TAATTTTGGGAAACCCCCAAGTCTCAAAACCCTGGGATGCAAGGTCAAGAACCCAACAGACCGCATCATGTACCACCTCTTCGCTTCGTTGGGGTTTGGTGGCAGATACGATGGGGCTGCGCTCTTCGATTCTGCCACTTTCGTGGGAACTTTGTACCGTGCCTTGGTCTATCTGTAGGCAGTCATGGCAGTGTTTTCCCTTTTGGGCAAAGGATGGACAAGAGTTGCGAGGGCTGTTGTAGCATGACTCCCTACATATGAGATATCCCTTCCAGCCCATGTCTGTTGGATACTGTCATAACTCATCAGTGGTAAGTCTGACAGGGGCAGTGGGAGCTTTTGTCAAAGCATCTATTTTTCTAAACGGAACACTGCACCTGCGGGCCATGAACTTGGAAGAGGTAATTCCTTCTAGGCAGCATTTAATGCCCGAAAGTATGGGGCAGGGAGGAGGCGGGGGGAACCATGGCTGAAAGGCTTCTGGGATTTCCGCCAAAGCGTATCCGAGCTCCACATTACATGCCCAGTAATGGTTATGTTTAGTTGCATAATTTCTCAGCTCCTGAAAAAGAAAAAGGTAATCCTTACTGCATGGAGACGTTAACTTTGGGTGCTTCTAACAGCCCAGTACTTTGCTTTGGATGATCACTTTAGGAGCGGAATGTGCGGATCTTAGATTCTGATTGTTCCGGCTCCTGGAGTGGTCTCCATAGCCGAACACCTGAGGCAAGAGTGTGGGAAGCTTCACAGCGCGAAGCTCAGAGGGATATGGGAGTACCCCCCTCATTCGCTCAAACCAAACTCCTAATGCAGTTGTTATAGGCCGCACCCCACTACCCATGTCAGGAATCACCTGAGCCAGTCTTCAGATAGGCTTTGTGCCAGGCTCGAAGAGTTTTGGGATGGGTGTAGTGAGATGCACAGCGGTTGACATTGCCATTTTACCAACTAGCGCTAGGTAAGGAGCGCTGGAAGGGTAAGACACGCTAGAGTATGGTCTGATTTCACAAAGGAATGGTGCACGTGCCATGAAAAGCATGCTGTCCTGATGACCAGAGAGGCACAAGAAATCGTTGAAGTCGACTCTGGGTGGTAGTTTTTCAGGATCAGAGTCCGAATGAGGCACTTTAGAATCTTTGGAGTCTCGTCCCACCAAAAAGGGTATCCCGGCGCTGTGTCAAGTTCCCACCCTCCTCAGGAGATTCCCAGGGATCCTCTGGAAGATGGGCCGGGGACAATCTGCGCCAGCGATGGAAGCCCTTGCAGATGCAAAGGCAGAGCTTGGTGCTCAGCCTGTTTGGGGGCTCTAGTCCCCCTTGAGCAGATTGCTTAATTCCAAAGCGCCAGTAGTGTTAGTGACAACAATCTTTTTCCAACGTAGCAAGACTAGCAACAATAACAGAAATGTCCGTAAACCTTCAACCCTAAAACACTAAGAGTCCGGGGGCTCTGGACGTAGACTTCCTCCAGTAATTCCATACCTAAGTGCATATAGTGTAGCAATGCTTCTTGGTACCTCTGTCTTGAGCACACGCCCAGGGTCCCCTGCTTTGAAAACTGAATAGTAGGGCTTTCAGTTTTGGAGCGAGCACATCCATTGAGATCCGTCCTGTTTCCCGGATTGTGACTTGCGCTGCTCTGGCCATGCTAATGACAAAGCCCTCAATGTCCATTTGATGCTTCGTTATCGGGTTATAACCCTTACAATATACAGTGTCCTACCCAAGCACCTATAGGTCCCTATGAGCCTTTATAGTTTCCATAGTAGTACTATAGACGGTGATGAATGGCTAAGTGAGGATGCCTCAGCGAGGGCCCCAGCTTCCCGCGGAAAATAAACTGGAAATTAGTGCATTTGTGAGTTTAGGGTTTAGGGGCCGAAGTAATTACCAACAATGGAGAAGCAAATGGAAAATGAGCTGGAAGCATTTATTTGGCGTGCACTCCCATACAACCCCAATATAGTGCCATTACATAGTAGGGTAGTCTTTACTGCCATTTCACGCTCCTTTTGATTCTCCAGTGTTCATGGAACATCGGAATTTATTCCGACGAATTTCATCCATGGATCTGCGACCTGCACATCCAATGCTCAGCAGCCATTAGCTAGAAACCGTACACACAACTAGATATGTGCATATATCATATATGTTTGTATATTATACACATATCGCCAAGGCCTTTTTGCAGTAGGAGCTTGGCTTCGGGAATTCATGCTATGAGATGTTGCGCGAAAGTGGCGACCAATTATTCAGGAAATCCTCAATTGCTATCCGGGCTGATGGGGGTGAGCCTCTAGTCTTTGGGAGCTTTCTCGTGGAGATGATCGGGATTCAAACAGAGAGCTGGCCAGTCCTTGTAAGTGGGGAGCATTCATTCCTGGTTCGTAATCAGCCTCCTCAAGTCCTCCAACAAGGGAGTTTCTCAGCACCCTGAGTCTTGGCGCGCATCAGACCCCAAATTCGACAGTGGATACTTGTCTGAGTGTGTTTGTCACAGGGGCCCAACTATTCTGCTCCGAAGTTTCGACAGATGTTCCGATCATCACTCGATTGAGGTCTTTTTCGGCCGACGCTTCATCAACGACCAGAACCTTTGGAGTCCATCGGGTAACTGTTTTCACAGTTTTCTGGGCGATGAGCACTCCCATCAAAGCGCAAGTTGGGATCATTTCCACGGAAAGCATCCCTCTGTAGCCCACGCCATATGACTTGAAAATCTAAGGCCTGCAAACCCCAAAATGCAACCAAGGGATGAGCCCAAAGCAGAGCTCAAGGATCTTCTGAAGCGGAAGTATGCGACCAAAGACGTGGACGGAGAGATTCTAGATCTTTTTTTGGGTAGCATGTTGCGTGTGAATGATTTTTGCTCCGAATCTTATGAAGAAGAAGTAAGAATACCTTGACGTTTCATTTATGGATCTGCTAGGCTCTTCGTCTATGGACAAATAGGGAGCCCCACAATTTCAAGAAGCCCCATGTACAAGATATGCCCACACATCTCCCAAACCCTCGCGGATGATCCAGGATCAGCTGCACGGTGGATGTCTTCGGAGACCCACTTTTCACAGTGCCAAAGCATTGCATCTGCCAGCCACGGTCTCAAGAAAAGGTGCGTCTTCATTCCTGCACATGCTGAGCTGGCAATGGGGGAGTAAGGGCCCTCGTGCAAGGTTCTCAAGAGAGACATGTGTCCTTCTTCGCCTTAATCCCGTTCTCCATCCCTGTTGTGACGGAGGCCTCATACAGGTGGCTGCTATACTCCACAATCTAGCTTGTTTCCACGTGGGGGGCGCAGCTGCTGGAATTACTTCCTTGGAACAGTCGCAGTGGGTGTCAGCAGAGCAGCAGAATGGACCAGCACAGGGCACATTGGGCCCTTGCTGGAATCTGCTTCAATTTTGAAAGGTTTCGGTGTCCTTTGCTGAAGTGGCTTTATCTTGCTCTGGTAGATCTTGTTACGTTCTCATTATGCTCTCTCCCACACAGGATCCTGCTTCTTTGCCCCTAAGTCAGAGGATCCCTGGAGTCCACAGAAACAGCGCTGTGTACAGTTGAGATTGTTGCATGAGCGCAGCTGCAGAGCTACTTCTACTTCTACTTGAACTTCCACTTCAAATACTATTGTCATGACTGCTACTACTCTTTTGCTGGCGATGGGGATTACCACCAGCACAGCCGCTTGATGAGCATAATGTTTGACCCCTTCAGGATAGAAAGATTCATCACGACCGTTCCTACTGCTCCTGTTGCTTTTGCTTGTACTTCTGGCAGCCAGGTACCTCACACGCTGAGGGGAGGCAAGAAGGGCCTTTCGTGTCATCGTGATTTGCGCGCTTGGAACATCCAAGTTGAGTGATGAAGCAGCGAATTTTGACTGGCAACGCCTCTAGAGGTCCAGCGCCCGAAATTTGGTGGTAGTGCAGCAGCAGAAGCAGATCAAGAAGCCTTGTAGATGAACTCCGGTTCTCGCTAGAAGGATTTTCAAGTTAAGATGTCTCTTCAGTGAGCCTTTGCCTGATTCCTGTTAAGACTCTACATTGGCTACCTAGATTCTGTTTCCATGTTTTATTATAAGCTAAGGTAGAAGAACTAGGAAGAGCAACACGTACACCGTCTTCAAGCCTGCTCATCATTCCCAATTTTCCCTGCGCGATGTGCTCCTTCTATCCAAAGATTGTTAAACAAGTGGGGTTCTTTGGGGGGCTCCGAAACATCCAGGCTTGAGTTATAAAAGGGAACCAACAACTCCTAATCCTCTGCATGGCCCCCTCTTCCTGTGAAGGCGACGCCAAGCAGGGACGCTCAAGCCTTCAGACCATAGACACTATTGCCGTGGCCTCAGATGCCAGCTTACCATGGCTACCCAAAGCCTTTTGTGACGTACAAAGTCTTTTGGGATTTCCCAAAAGTAAGGCCTTTGAGGGGTTATATGTGGAGATTTAAGGGGCTATATAGGGGGTTATAATAGGAGATTCTGAGAAGGGAGCCTGCAAACAATAGAGCCTGGCATGCCCTTCTGAGACTGGAACCTAATAAGGGTGTGGTGATGAAAATATGTGATGCCTCCGTTATAGAAGTGTACGTGTGTCATGCTGCTAGTGGCAGAGATCTGCACCAAAGACAAATCTTCTGCTTGGTTCGTGAACGGGAGTTGGTCAATCATCCGGCGCAAGCCCGTGCGAGCCTACAGTGTGCACATCCAGTGGGAGAGTATCAGGTGCAGCCTACGAGGAGATCAAAACATACTTACCTTACAACATGGGCCTGGGCATTTAAAGGTTTGCACCCCTTAATCACATTGAACTATTACTGGACCCACCACCACCGCCGCCACCGCCAACACCACCCCCAGCCCCGCCCCCACCGCCCCCGCCATTGCCACTTTTGTCGACGCACTTTTCCCAGGCCTCAGAGCAACCGAAGCTGCAGACTCGGAATGTCTGGGGACCGTCGTCGAGGAGCCGGCGTCTTCTCAATTACACTCCTTTAACATGAAGCACCGGAGGTACAAGTGAGAGTAACGACTGGCGAATGAGACCGAACTTCCTCAGCTTTTCCGTGCTAGAGCTTAGTTCAAGGCATAGACTCAGTGACTGTCCTGGGGATTGCCATTGTGCATGGGCAAGGGTCCAACATAAGTTTGGATTTGATTGCACCTTCCACGTTTGAGACTATCTTGCAAGGCTGACTTTGTTTGAGGTTCAGGCGAAGATGTAAATCAAGGACTTAAGCCGTAAGCACAAGTATGTTTTGATTGCTGAGTTGCTGAACTGTCAACCCTGATACCGGAGCCTCACGCGCTGAAGCTGTAACCAAGGTTGCAATCCTTTCTTGCGGGCAAACAGACATGTGGCCACAACTTGTAACAGAGGAAACGTAGTCAAATAACCTTGGCCACACACAGCTCAGTCAAGCTCCTTTCCCCAACGTGCAGGAACAAGCCTGGTGTCAGGGTCGAGGCTGGAGCTACTAATGGTCACTAATTACACCCCATACCATGTTGTCAGGATTCAGGGTTCAAGGGTGGGGTCTACAAGCATGGTACTGTAGAGAGCTGCTCTCTGGGTGTACGGGATGTGGGGTCGTTTGGCCGTTCCGCCTGCGTGAGTTCATGTTCTCTGGAGGCTCTCCAACAAAGAGCCTGAAAGCCCTGTGTTGAGTAACGACGTAGGAGCAGACGATTGGTGCAGGAAATCTTGAATCACTGATGAACCCCACCCTGATGCCAGAGTACAGAGAAGACAAAGTGGTGCGAGATTGCCTCTATCCATAAACCCTAAACCATATATATATATAAGCCCTATCAGCATGGCTGTTGCAATTCTGATCATAATTCTGTGCCCAGCTTTGGCTTACCAATAACCTACTGCATATATATGTGGGAGATCCTGACATGCAGCTATAGTCTAAACTCTTTGATGGGGTTAAGTAGGGGAGTACTATAGGGCTGGGAACTCCTCCTTTGGCTGTACACTTATGTTGAAATGGAACCGGACTTGAACGAGTCCCCGAAGACCAGGGATCTGCATGGGGGTCCATGTTTCTTTGGTGGAGGTGCTGAACTGTCACCATAACAAACCTTTTTTTGTGCACGCCCATACAGGGAAGCCTGCTAGTTTGAATATCCTTTGCCCCAAAGAATCCACCAACCCCTTCACGCCCAAATGGAAGATGTTGACTAAAGTCCCAACAGAAGCGGTACAAATTCGATATTGCGGTGGGGGTGGTAAACATCAGGAGGAAGTAAGGGTTCATTCCTGTGATCATTGTATATTGGGGTTATATTGGGATAATAGAAAATAAAATGGAAACTACTATAGTATTATGAGAC